TGAGCAGCTCCAGCTCCCCCAAATCCCAGGCACCTGCCCTGCAGAGTCGGGGGGCCATGCCCACCTCACCAGGTTTCGCTGAGGGTGAATGAAATGGATGTAGCGTCTGAGCTGTAGACGCCCAGACAAGATTGTCTTTGTGGCCTTTAGTATTCTTCTCTCGCTGGTGGAGCCCTGGAGGGACACACTAAGCTTTCTGCTGACTGCTGAGGCTCCTGGGGGCACTCTACACAGCCTCCAGCCGGACCCCTGGCGAGGGCAATCACTTCTCCACTAGCTGGCTCCTTCGCCTGGCTTCTGCTCTGCCTGCCCCATGTGGCATCCTGTTCTCAGCAAGTTCTCAAACCTGCACCAAGGGCATAGTATTATAGCTCTCAAGACAAGACAAGGAGAGCCAGATCATGGCAAAGCTGATCTCCAATCCACTTGCCCACTGATGAGCAGTGCGTACCTGCCTCCCTTCTAGTGTAGCTCTGACCTCCTCTCTCTCTCTCTTTCTCTCTCTCTCTCTCTCTCTCTCTCTCTCTCTCTCTCTCTCTCTCAGCAGCTGAGGGGACTGAGGGGAGCTGAGGAGAGGACAGGTCCTGGTCTGGGGCCCTTCAGACCTAATTCTATCCTCACAGGCCTCAGGTCCAGAACCAGCCTCACTCTGACCCAAGGCCCAATGCAGAGACTTCACTCTTCTTCCTCTCTTCTTTTTCAGGAAGTACCCTGGGGAGACCTGCCATATGGCTTCAATGAACTCGTGACTCCTGCCCATTCTTCCAAAGTTCTCAAATTCTAGAATTTGGTTATTTATTGGGCACCTATTAGGTCATGCACCTTTTCTTTAACATCATTTAGCACCTGATTTCTATAAACAAAGAATCTCTCCTTTTTCCTTTCTAGCAACCTCTTTAAGTACTTTGAAGGAATTTCACAATTCCTGATTTCCAATTAGTCCAAGATGCTCAAAATGTCTTTATCTGCGATTCGAAATGCTTGATAGGAAAATCTCGAAGTTTCCTATAAGGACAGGCCTCTGTGGGTGGATTGGTGTGGAAGAACTGACTCCTCCTTGTTTGCTAAGAAGTTATTTGCAGCCCTCTAGTGGGCCTTGAATGTATCACAAGAAGGGAAGTGGAGGCAATGAGCCATGACTTTGCTTGTTCATGCCTTCATTCATTTGTTCATCTATTCAATGTGCAAATGTTAATCGAGTGCCTACTATGTTCCAGGCATGTTTTAGGTGCTGGCGATCCTTCAGTGAACAAAACAAACAACAACAAAGCCATATGCATTGGTTACTTGAGACCAGAAGACAGTAGAACCAATTTTAGCAAAGCCCAGGCGTTTGATTTTGGACATGCTCAGTTGGAGGTAGCTGCTTTTAAAAACGAGTTGGCATCTCTGGGAACACCTCTAGAGCCCTTGTGAGCAGAAAGCATAGACATTGTGCAAATAACCTCTTTATTTGAGATTGCACCAGATTTAAATTAAAACTGACAACACAAGCACATTTATTTATTTATCTATTTATTTATTTAAATTTCTTTATTAGTAAGGTATTACACATTTGTTGTCATCTCCCCATTCCCATCACAAACCCCTCCCCATACATGCCCCGACCCCTCTGTTGTCCGTGACTACTGATTAGGCTTATATGCGTACACACAGTCCTTTGGTTGATCTCTCCCCTAAACCCTCACTCTCCCCTACCTTCCCTCTGAGGTTTGACACTCTCATCGATGCTTCCCTGTCTCCGGGTCTGTTTTTGTTCATCAGTTCATGTTGTCCATTATTTCCACCATTTGTCCACCATTCAGAACTGAAATATCATTGCTGACATGTACACATAAGGACCTGTTTGACATTGAAATTGGGACTCAAAAGAACTGTTGGCCTAGAAAGAAACTCACTACAGACTGATTCATTTGCCTCTCAGCATAACCATTATGGCTTGTCTCACTTTCTGTTCTTATGTGTGTATTTCTAGTAACATGAGCACATTTAGCAAGACACTTGTGAAAACAGTGCATTAGGCCCTGGGTGTGGGAGGGTGGTGAGGGAGAAGTTCAAGCCCTGACCCTGCCTTCACGGAGCTGATCTTCCCTTAGTCCTGTTTAAATGCAAACGTCTCAGTTTCCGTCTCAGTTCGTTGGTTGTTCTCTTAATGTTCACCAGTTTGTAATGGTTGGATTTCTCTGTGACCGTGGGGACACCTACCTCCTCCTCCCCCAGAACTGGGGTATCTTCAGTGCCTGGCAGGACCTCCGTTTTTATTTGAGGGATGAGTTTTCAAATGAACAGGTCAGATAACATAGACATAAAGGAGAAGCTGGTAATATAGACTAGCACATGGCACATTGTAAGTGAGTAAAGAACACAGTTAATTGCTCTCTTAGGAGACTACAGAGGGTTGAAGGCAGTCAGGGGAAATTTCAGGGAAGAAACTGGGAGAGAGCTGAGTCTGAAAGAATGGGCGGAATATAAAGGAAGGAGTGTGTAAGTGGTGGGAAGGTGCATTTCCTGAAAAAGCATTTCTGATTAACCCCTACATGCTCCTCAGCAACCAATGTCTCTTTCTGCTCTGGTGTCTGCTGGTCTTTGTGGGGCTGTCCTGCCCCTCACCCCCACCAAATAAATGATATGGGATAAGCCAATCATATGGCCAGTCACTAGGGTTTGTCATGCTATGCCTATGCCACTCTTCTTTATCATTGTCATTGTGGCCCCACTGTTTCTTTTTTAAGGAACACCTTGTGTATCAATGCCTATCATAATACCCGGGTTATAGTAAGTGCTCAATAAATATCTCTTAAATGAACATGTGATCCTAGAAGCCACTCTCCATACTCCTAGGATGGCCCTTTGCCCAATATTTAATCTTTATCATAGGAATGGAGACATTTAAAACATGAGTACTTGAGGATTTCCTCTTAAATCTATGTATGATTAATAAGTTTCTCATATTTTCATTTAACAAAGATTTATTGCATGTGTCCTTTATTATAGAACTTATGCTGCCTCTAAGAAGCTTAGAGTTGAGCTACTATGTAAACAAATAATGACAGATAACAAGTGTTGATTTATGTACACAATGGTCTGTGAACAATGTAGATGAAGAAATTGTGTGTTGTAATGTGCTAGCTAGAAGAGGCTTCCCATTGTACAAGTTGGCACTGAAACTTTTTTTTTTATTATTTATTTCATAGAGGAAGGGAGAGAGAGATGGAAACATCAATAATGAGAGAGAATCATTGATTGGCTGCCTCCTGCACACCCTACATTGGGGATCAAGCCCACAACTTGGGCAAGTGCCCTTGGCCGGAATCCAACCTGGCATCCTTCAGTCTGCAGGCCAATGCTTTATCCATTGAGAAAAACTGGCTAGGGCTTGGCTCTGAATCTTGAAAGACAAGTTGTGTCCTCTAGTCAAACATGATAGTGTGTGGGGGAGTGGGTAAGAGGGCTGGGTAGACAGTATTCCAGACAAACGGGATAACAGGTGCAAAGGTGGTGGACGGAGTCTGCTAGGTTTGGGGAATTGGGGCAAAGCACAAGAGCGAATGAGTAGCCAGAGAGAACATGTGGGACTGGATTTTGGGTAGGCAAGCCAATGAGCTCTGTGGATGTCAATTTTTAAGAGGTACTAAAATAAAAAATATAATGCCAATTAATGCAGCTACTAGTAGTTCCGTACATAACTTTCAAAACCTAAATGGTCCTATTCTCTCAAGGTAAGACAGTGCCTTTGAATGTGACTTCAAAAATTCTCCTGAATGGCAATTCCAATTCAATTATGTTATATTCAGTGCATGTAATGTTTTATTTTATTTTTTTTTAACATAAAGAGGTTTGTGATTCTTATTCATAGAAAATCAAGTTCCTTCCAATTCCACGTTGAAGAGATATTTAAAGAAAATTGACCTATTTATGCATAGCCAAATTATAGGCACAGATTTCTCCATCCACATCTGATCCTCTCTCCCGGTAAAAGCGGGACTGTCTCATCTGGCTGGGTGAGCTGAAAATGTTGCTTTTTATGTGTCCCTAGGAGAGGCTACATTCAATGAAGTATTATCAGTTAATTATGTGTTCAGCACCTCCAAGAATCTATTTGATAGCTTTTTTTTTTTTTTTTTTTTTTTTTTTTTTTTTTTTTGTAGGCGGCTTAAAGGTAAACCTGACAATCTCTGCCCCAGGGCCATCGTATTTTCCTGGGTGTTCAAAAACATCAGAGAGTTCCATATTCTATCCTGAGAGTTTGCACACACCCTGTGCATATTCATCAGGCCTCTACATTTGGTGTTCAAAAATATATTCTCTTGCCCAGCCGGCCTGGCTCGGTGGTTGAGCTTCGACGAATGAACCAAGACGTCAGGGTTCAATTCCTTGGTCAGGGCACATGCCCAGGTTGCGAGCTTGATCCCAGTAGGGGTCGTGCAGGAGGCAGCCGATCAAAGGTTCTCTCCCTCTCTCTCTCTCAAATCAATAAAAATATATTTTTAAATATATATATATATATATATATATATATTCTCTTTATGATAACAGCACCCTGCACGAAGTCATGTGTAAACTTGAAATTGTTGTTTTTGCATTGATTTTTCCGTTTCTGGCTGTTGGATCTAAAGCAAATAATTTTGCTCCCGTTTCCAATTAAACTAATTCCTGCTTTATAGGTTTGTGTTGAGGAATAAACGAGACAATCCGTGTCAAATGCTGGGCACAGTCCCGCATCATGGCCCGCACTCACAAGTGCCTCCTTCAGCGAGGGGGCTGTACTTTTCATCCCTGTTGTACTCAGCTCTCACTAAGTCTTGGGTTGACCCTGCCCAGGCTCCGGGTACTGGAACCTGGGAGAAGGCTCACAGTGCCAAGGTCAGACGGCAGTTGGTAGAGGCGGTGTGCAAAGAAGTTTAGAGAGAGATCTCTGGACTTCCGTTATCTTGACGACTTCAGCCAGAGATCTGACAGGCGCCTTTCTATCGGGCCACGCCCCCTTTTGACTTAGCTCCGCCTCTTCCTCCCTAGGAGTAGAAAGCCGACGCCTAGATAGACGCCGACGCGGTTGCTATGGATACGCCTTCCCAAGATGCCTAGCGTGTTGTGTTCCTCTTAGCCAATCAAAGAGGCGAAGCCGCCTCCCCGTGGGCCAATAGGCGGCGAGGCCAGGGCCCGGGACGGTTAAATTGAGCTGCGGGCTGTGGCGGCCGCCGGTGTGACTGGGAGAGGCTTTGCAGTCGGTGCAGCTCCAGCTCCGCGGCTGCGGCGCGATCTGCGGGAGACCCCGGCGGGCCCGGCCATGCCGACCCGGGCGGAGGACTACGAGGTGCTGCACACCATCGGCACCGGCTCCTACGGCCGCTGCCAGAAGATCCGGAGGAAGAGCGACGGCAAGGTGAGCGCCCGCCCCCTGCCGTCCGGGTCCGCGCAGCGCTTTCGCCAGCTAGTGGCGATCGGTGTTTGCACTGGGTCTCTCGGGATATTTTCCCGTCTGTTTCTCTTTCTCTTCCATTTCCTTCCTGTTTTTACCCCTGCTTTGACCTGCTAAGGGCCTTCCACGGGTGACTCCTGAACTATCTTTATTATTTTGTTTATGCAATTTTAAATTATTGATTGGTTGAGTAGTTGATTTGAGAGGAACATTGATTTGTTCCACTTAGGTATGCATGTATTGGTTGCTTCTTGTATGTGCCCTGAGCGGTGATCAAACCTCAACCTTGAACCTTGGTGTCTGGGAGGACGCTCCAACCAACCCAGCTTTCCCGCCGGACCCCTGGGCTGTTTTTATTTTATTTTTTTTAATATATTTTATTGACCCCCCCCCCTTTTTTTTTTTTTACAGAGAGGAAGGGAGCGGGATAGAGAGTTAGAAACATGGATGAGAGAGAAACATCCATCATCTGCCTCCTACACACCCCCTACTGGGGATCTGCCAGCAACCAAGGTACATGCCCTTGACCGGAATCGAACCTGGGACCTTTCAGTCCGGAGGCCCATGCTCTATCCACTGAGCCAAACCGGTTAGGTCCGAGCTCCCGGGCTTTTTTTTAGAGAAGAGTAGAATCCTGGGGCAGGAGGAAGGGGCGGCCACAAGCAGAACCTGAGCTTTCTGCCCGGCAGTCCGAGCTCTTTTAAGATATACCCTTTGATCGGATTATTGGTTTCATATTTCTTTGGAGTGTAGGGAGACTTTATTCAGAAAGAGACAATGGAGAGGCAGCTGCCTGGCTGCGGATGGAGGGATGCACTCGGGTCTTTCCCCCTGGAAAAGCTTGCCTGGTTGGGATGGTCAGGGACTTGGACTGCCTCTGCCCTACCTTTGACCAAAGCACCATGGCCAACCTCCCACAAAGGGACTGAGGGGAGGGGGTTGGAGGAAGCTTCATGTGCCTCATCTCCCTCTCTCCCATTGCATTCTTTTCTGCTTAAATATTACAGGACGGCCATGGAATTAAATTCAGGGGTCCTTACATTCATTGAACTAAGTTAGATGATAATGACTTATGTGATCTTTTTAATAGCAAAGTACTGAGTGATCACTAGCCCTATAGCATTGTCACAGTGTGATGGTGGTCATGGAATTCTCATCCTTCGGTTTTTGAGTTCATTCAGACCTTGGACATTTTTTATTTCAGATACTAGTTTGGAAAGAACTTGACTATGGCTCCATGACAGAAGCTGAGAAGCAGATGCTTGTTTCTGAAGTGAATTTGCTTCGTGAACTGAAGCATCCAAACATCGTCCGTTACTACGATCGCATTATTGACCGGACCAACACAACGCTGTACATTGTGATGGAATATTGCGAAGGAGGGGACCTGGCCAGCATCATTACAAAGGGAACCAAGGAAAGGTGAGTGAATCTCTCCCATGGAAGGTGGAGATGGGCCCGGTTCACTCTGGTTAAGCATCCTGTTTTATTAGGATCAAGGACCAAGTACTTGGTGAGGGGAAGAGTGTTCTTGCATTTGGTGGGTCTAAAGAACTTTAGGAAACCTCTTGTGAATCAACACCCATATTTCATATCAAAATATATTTATTTCCCTACTTGTACCCTAGATAGTTCACCATCCCCTCTTTGTAATGGCTTTATTCAGAAGTTCTATGCTGTGTGACTGCTTTGATTTCAGGCAATACTTGGAGGAAGAGTTTGTTCTCCGAGTGATGACTCAGTTGACGCTGGCCCTCAAGGAATGTCACAGGCGAAGTGACGGCGGACACACGGTGCTGCACCGGGACCTGAAGCCAGCCAATGTCTTCCTGGACGGCAAGCAGAACGTCAAGCTCGGAGACTTTGGGCTGGCTAGGATATTGAACCACGACACCAGTTTTGCAAAAACATTTGTTGGCACTCCTTATTACATGTCTCCCGTAAGTATTTCAGAATTTAGATACTTTTTAAACCTCTTAATGCTAAGCATTCAGATGCAGGGAAAGTGAGTTGTTTTGATTGATTGTTTAGTAATAGCCAATAACCAAGAATGAATAACATTGTTTCACTTTTAATTTATATTGTTTCCAAAGGGACCACCAGACCATTAAACTCAACTCTATCAGCAATTCAAGCCAGGCTTTTTTTTTTTTTTTTTTTTTTTTAATAAAACTACCACATGCTAAATTTACAAAATTGAAACAGGCTTTTTTCTCTGGCCTCAAGAGCTGTGTTTCCCAAAGTGCCGTAGGTCCTGTACACCAGCTTGGACTCCTTTGGTGTGCTTTTCCAAATGCAGAATCCGGGGCCCCGAGCCCCAGTCCAGTGAGTTCGGATCTCCGGATAGGTCCTTGCTCTTTTTTTTCCTACTTTTCAATTTGGACTCTGCATTTTAACAGACTCTCTGGATGATTCTTCTGCATGGAGATTCGGGGCTCAGAGTCTCATCACTTCAGATAACATGTTTTTACAGTGTTAACTTTTGGTATTTGTCCTTTTTTGTTGTTGTTGTTGACTTTTCCTTCAAGGGAGCTGCTGAGTCTGCCTACTTAATCTATTTTCTTGATTGCTGGATAATAATTTTGTTTCCAAAATTTCTCACCATTCTAAGGAGCGCTGCTATGCAAGTGAATTATTCTGCCTTCCTTGTTATTCATTTCCTTGGCAGATAGCTCTCAAAATGAAATTGCTGGGTTGGGGCAAAGGCTATGAACAGTTTATGACTCTAGATTCTGCCTGATGGCTTTTGAAGAGCTTAAACCAAAAAGTGATAGTCCCGGGGGGGTTGTATATGAAATCTGATCATACAAAGGTGCAGAGGGATTAATTGTTTTGGCAGTTCATAAACAATTCCGGGCTTTTCTAAATCTCTTTTAGTTGTGTCAACCAGTCTGACTACAGTATAAATTTTGTATTAGTGATTTTGTTTTTCACTAATATTAGACATGGCCAGAACAGCGTCATTTTCTCACTGGATCACATCCCAAATAGAAAGCCTTTAACATAAAGGAAAATTATACAGAAGTGGTTCTTGGAAAATTTGAAACCTACGAGATTCTTTTGTTCCTTTTCCCTCCTGCCCTTGTAATGAGATCTGTTCAGCCTTCTCTGAGGCATTGCCCAGAAATGGTATCAGCCTCAACCTGTTGGACTTAGAGCACTAGGGAGCCTCCTGAAGATTTTGGTTCTTGCCTCTGTGGCCTCTGTTGCTCCTGAGAGTGTGAGAAAGACAATTAAAATAGGAAATGAGAACGTTAGTTTGTGGTTTACTAAGGAAAAATATAAATGAAGACCTTCACTTAGCCATTTATGTCCACATCCATTTAAATGGGGGCCAGATGTATGCCTTGGTTATTCTGAAAGTTTCTCTGGTTCTTTCAAAACAGAGTTTCTAAATTATTAATATCACCAGGGTAGAGGTCTCCTATTCACCTTTGAATAGTCAGTGCCTCACTTCTAGTAACAATAAATATTTGTGAAGGAAAAAGAATTGAATGAGTTATACATGATAAAGTATATTAGGATAAGATCATTGCCCTTTTTCATTGTAAAATTGAAGATAAAGTATACATTTTAAAACAAAATAAACTTTTAATTCCTCATACTTTCTTACCCTTTTCCCTCTTAAGGAGCAGATGAGTCGCATGTCCTACAACGAGAAATCGGATATCTGGTCACTAGGCTGTTTGATGTATGAGTTGTGTGCATTAATGTAAGTAAGTTGAAGACAGATTTCTAGTCTGAGGTTTATACTCTGGGGTTTGTCACCTTTCACTGGGTTCAGTTGTTTGACCATCCATTTGTCTTCAAATCTGAAAGAATCCTACCTTGGGTTAAAATTGAAGTAGGTAGACAGGTAAAAAAAAATTATTTAGAAATTAATACCATAACCCCTGAGGCTGGCAGTTGACTTGTTCAAACTCCTAGCCTGGTTAGATGCTTCCTTGTTAGACTTTTGCTCAGCTCAATGGGAGAGCAAACAGGTCAGGCCCGAGGAAGAGACAGACAAGATCCGGGGGTAGCTCTGGCGATGTGGAGACCAAGAAAGAGCTCCAACTCTTTCTCTTCTAAGCTATTCTGTAGAGCAGCAATCCTCACCCAGGGACAGAGAAGCAATTTTGCCCCCCATGGAACATGTGACAGTGGCTGAAGATAGTTTTGGTTGTGACAAACAAAGATAGCTACTGGCACCTAGTGGATGGAGGCCAGTGACAGTGTGAATAAATCCTATGATGTTCAGGACACTCCACAACAAAGAGCTATGTGACCACAAATGCCAGTAGCGCCAAGGTTGGGAAACTTAGCTATGGAAGAAAACCCCAGAAGCAGAAACATAAATACAAACTGGAGCTTAAACTGCTTTTGATTTGCTTCCCAATATATATATAAATATATATATGTATTTATTTTTCCTTTCAGGCCTCCATTTACAGCTTTCAACCAGAAAGAATTAGCTGGGAAGATCCGAGAAGGCAAATTCAGGCGAATTCCCTATCGTTACTCTGATGAGTTGAATGACATCATTACAAGGATGTTAAATTTAAAGGTAGGGATTATAAAATTATTTTGTAATAGATCCTTAGTTCCCCCATCCATGCCTCCCTCAATGTGGCAGATGGTATGGAAGGGGCCACATAAGACTAAATTACTCTGCCTCCAGCTCCAATGGAGAGATTGGAGACCACAGATAGTCTGTGTTTATGGGGGGCAAGGGGGGATGGGGGGGCAGTTAGAGGGTAGGGGTGTCTAAGAAGAGTGGAAGGGAAATAACTCTTAAGAGATTACGTGGGAAAATCCTGGCCAGGGAATGGTGAGGGAAATGCCCAAGAGATGAGGCTGGTATAGAGTTAAATGCTGTGAGATTGAAAAAAAAGGATGCAGATGGAGTAATGGGAGTTGAGGGCTGAGAGGGAGCATCCACTTCCTGTAGTTTAGAGATGCCCTAACACAGACCCTGGCCAGGCTACCGAGCGCCTGCCCAGGGATGAAGCCCTCAGGTTAAAGGGGGAACAGAGGGAAGTAAGTGTCTGCATTACTGTTTGGACCCAGAGCCTCGTGTATGAAAGCCACAAGTGGACTTGCTTTTCCAGATGCTTACCATCCAGAAACGGGTTTCTCTTTTGCCTTGGAAACATGTGCCCTTTTAAGGTAGCCGCTCTTTGGGGATGCGTATTCTGTTACAAAACTGACTCTAAACACTGAGTGTTTCCCCCAGGATTACCATCGGCCGTCCGTGGAGGAAATTCTGGAGAGCCCTCTGATAGCAGACCTGGCTGCGGAAGAGCAGAGGAGAAACCCTGAGAGAAGGGGGCGGCGGTCCGGAGGCCCGGAGAAGCTGCAGGACTCCAGCCCCGGGCTGAGCGAGCTGAAGCTGAAGGAAATGCAGTTGCAGGAGCGGGAGCGAGCCCTCCGGGCCCGAGAGGACAGACTGGAGCGTACGTCTGAATGGGGGGGCGAAGCAAAGGAGAGCGATCAGAGGGCGGTGTGATGAGTGTGAGGATCTGTCTAAGTGAGTACATTAGGACATTCTTGCCCTGGCCAGATAGCTCGGTTGGTTGGAGCGTCATCCCAATATGCCAAGGTTGCAGGTTCAATCCCTGGTGAGGGCACATACCTGGGGTGCAGGCTCGATCCCCAATGTGGGGAGTGCAGAAGGCGGCCGATAAATGATTCTCTCACATCATTGATGTTTCCATCTCTCTCTCCCTCTCCTTTCCTCTCTGAAATCAATAAAAACATATATATATATATAAAACTATTTATAAAAGAGAGAACCTTCTTATAAATACTTGAGAAACCAAACTGTGCTTTGTAAAATATGTAAGTCAAGCTTCCTGGCATCTTCCTGGTGCTGCCTCTTTCTCTGAGGTCAGCTGCTATTGTCAGGTTCTAACTTTATACTTTGCCATAGACTTTGCATACTTCAATGTGTACATTACATTTTACTGTTACTCTTTCCTTTCTGTTTCTTAACATATGCATGCACCACAGTTTTTCCATTGCAAAGATAGATCTTAGGATTTGCTAACTTCCATAATAACCATTACTTCTGTGGCTGATCTAGCACAGTCCAGGTCTAAAATCCTACCGTGTGCAGGACTAGATATGCTCTGGCAATTCAATAACGTGGATACAAGATATTCTAGGTTTATAAATACTCTGAGGGCTATTCACTGATTAGGTACAATTAGTTGTTTTGTTTTTAATATATTTTTATTGATTTCAGAGAAGAAGGAGAGGGAGAGAGATAAAACATCAATGATGCTAGAGAATCAAGGATCAGCTGCCTCCTGCATGTCCCCAGTGGGGATCGAGCCCGCAACCCAGGCCTGTGCCCTTGACTGGGATAGAATCTGGACCCTTCAGTCTCCAGGTCAACACTCTGTCTACTGAGCCAAACTGGTTAGGGCAAGTGCTAGTTAGTGTTTGATGGTGAAAGCCTGTCAACTCCACGGAAGTGACAGGTGCTACAGACCAGCATGGTCAGGGTGGCCTGGGAATAGAGCGAGAACCCTTTCTCAGAGCATTACTAATCGCTGCTCAGCAAGCCGGTCTCGGTGATTCGGAAAAACGGTAAAATTAGCACGTGTAAATTGTTTTATACCCAAAGCCACTTGCTAATTTTTTTCTCATTCCATGCCTTTTCTAAAGAGAAGGAACGTGAGCTGTGTGTTCGTGAGAGACTGGCAGAGGACAAACTGGCGAGAGCGGAGAGTCTGATGAAGAACTACAGCCTGCTGAAGGAGCAGAGGCTGCTGTCCCTGGCCGGCGGCCCAGGTAGGAGAACCAGCTCAGCAGACAGAGGCTGCTGCGCGTGAGGACATGGGCTCTGGTTTGCCTTCCAGGGGCTTGGTGGGCCTTCTCGTTTTTTAATGTTTTTATTGATTTCAAAGAGGAAGGGAGAGAGAGAGATAGAAACATCAATGATGCAGCTGCCTCCTGCACGCCCCACACTGGAGATCGAGCCTGCAACCCGGTCATGTTCCCTGACCGGGAATCTAACAGTGGCCTCCTGGTTCATAGATCGATGCTCAACCACTGAGCTACCCCAGCTTGGCTTAACACTTTTTCATTTTTATAAAATTATTCCATTGGTGAGATTTACAAGTTACATAGGTATTTGTGTAGGGGTTTGTGGGAATAAAGGTGGATATGTTTGAAATAGTGGCATTAAGGCAAAAAAACCTAAAAAAACACAAGTATGCTTTGAAGCAGAAACAGTGTTTGAGATAGGAAGCCGGGTGCAATTGGAGGGCAGTGCTTCTTGCAGCCTCTCGGCCTGGCCTTTCCTTTCCTTTGGCCTGGAGTTTGTTCCTCAGATAACCTGGCGGCTTCTTATTTCCTCCCTTTCATCATGTCGCTGCTCAAAAGTCACCTTATTATGAGGCTCTCCTCACTGTGGCACCGCCAGTACCCCTGTTTCTCTTTCTCAGTGTTATTCCCCTTCAAAGAGTCTTCATTCGTGTTTGTTTATTGGGTTCTGGTCTCTCCCATTAGAATAGGGCCTTTGTTTGGTCCACAATGGCTCATACCATGAGTTCATAAAATTTGAATGTGTTTCCTTTAAATGAATGTAAAGGAAAAAATAAAAAGGTTCTGGAATTCAGGCCCGCAAGTCTCCACCTCCAGTAGTCTGTCAGTAGCTAACAGTGCTAACCACTTCCAAGGAAATTTTTTTCATGTAAAAAGCCCAGTTCATCTTTTTTTGCTATATTGTTACTTGATTTACCTTTTCCACCATGAATTTGCTTAGTTTCTTTTTGAAGCAAGAGTTCAGTCAATGAATCAGCTTTGAAGGAAGTGTTTTTGAATATTTACTCCAACCTGGAAGTGTCCATAAAAAAGCGTTTCTGCTTCCATACTTTTCTGGACGACCTGTGTTCTAGGTAGAATGGCACCTGGTTTCAGGAATGGAGTAGATGATACTGATTTCCAGAAGCTTTATGTTATGGCCAATAATCCCCAGTGCATTTGACTTTCAGAGAAAAGTCAATTGCTAAGGGAATAAAACTTATGTTCCTTGATACTTGGCACATCCCAGGATTATTTTTTCAGTGCTGTGGCTTAAAAGACCGATTGATTTATTTATATATATATATATATATATATATATATATATATATATATATTTTATTGATTTTGTACAGAGAGGAAGGGAGAGAGATAGAGAGTTAAAAACATAGATGAGAGAGAGTCATCGATCAGCTGCCTCTTGCACACTCCCTACTGGGGATTTGCCCGCAACCAAGGTACATGCCCTTGACCGGAATCGAATCCAGGACCCTTCAGTCCCCAAGCCAACGCTCTATCCATTGAGCCAAACCGGTCTTGGCGACCAATTGATTTCTTACCACCCTCAAGCTCCCAGCCTCCCGGGGATACTAAGATAGGTTCCAGATTTCAAAAGAACCGAAAGAGGGTATATCTCTGCCAAGTGTGATAAACCTGTTCAAATAACTCAAAAATCCTTTTTCCTCCTAAAGAACTTGGAGCTCTCCCATCCTCGATAATGAAGAAGAAAGTTCATTTCGGTGGAGAGAGCAAGGAGAACGTCCTGAGGAGTGAGAACTCGGAGAGCCAGCTCTCCTCCAAGACCAAATGCAAAGACCTGAAGAGGAGGCTCCACGCCGCCCAGCTGCGCGCCCAGGCCCTGGCGGACATCGAGCAGGTGTACCAGCTGAAAAGCAGGCAGATCCTGGGCATGCGCTAGCCGGGGGGGCCCAGCGCTGGTGCCAGCCCCTCAAAGACTCATGTTCATCTGCTGAGCTCGGTGCACTTGGTTCCGTGAGCCGAGCCTTTCTGTATGGTGAGGGTGATGTTTTGGAATTGCCTTTGCCGTTCTTCAGCAATAACTGTACAAAACCGTCCATACCTTTTTCTTTTTCTTTTTCTTTCTTTTTTTTTCTTTTTTAGATGTTTTACACGACATGAGTGGTGTGCTTACAGTTGTTATGTCTAGATTTACAACTTCAAGTCTGAGGTTTTAAATATTCTCGAGCTTAGAAAACCTAATTGATCCAAGCTGGTCACTGATACCATGACATTTTGCTCTTTAGTGCAAATCTGTCGCCTTTTGTGAAAATCCATCAGTGTGATGTCGATATTCTCTTTTTTTCTTTTTACTCTACCTAACTGTATATACAATGGCTGTCATGGGCTCATCTGTTTCTCATTAAATAAACGGATTCTTTAGTTTTCCTGTATTTGTGTGTCTTGCATTTGTTGGGTTTATGATTCGTAGGCACTGATGCACTCACTTCACTACCCTCCTCATTAATCAATTGGGCAGCTCGTGTGAGCCAGGCATGAAGATACAGCAATAAAGAAACACGGACATCCCTGCCTTCATGGAGATTCCATTCAAATAAGGCAGGATAGAAAATGAGCCACACAGCCGAAACCGGTTTGGCTCAGCGGATAGAGCATCAGCCTGCGGACTGAAAGGTCCCAGGTTCGATTCCAGTCAAGGGCATGTACCTTGGTTGTGGGCACATCCCCAGTAGGGGGTGTGCAAGAGGCAGCTGATCAATGATTCTCTCTCATCAATGTTTCTAACTCTATCCCTCTCTCTTCCTCTCTGTAAAAAATTGATAAAATATATTTTTTTAAAAAAGAAGAAAAGAAAAAAGAAAATGAGCCACACATGGAGACTGGTAGTGCTAAGGAGCAGAATGAAGCAGGAAAGGGGACGGAATGGGGGGGTGCCATTTTGGAAGAGGTGGTGATTAGGGGTGCCACAGGAAACCGAGGAGGCAGAGGCATGGAAACTGAATTTTTAATCTGATTGTGCTTCCTTCTCCACGCTCCAAAGCCGACAAAACCTTATTTTCTCTTCACCCCTAACGCTGGGAACATTTGGGGCAATGATGATAGATTAGAAGGGGGTCTCTTTGATGGGAGAGTCCTCCCAAATGATGTTTCTCCAGCTTCTCTTTGACGATTTATCAAGATAGGGGTGGAGGGGGTTAGTTGGGGGCGGGGGAACCAAGGGGACATCTGTAATACTTCAAGATGCCCAGCTAGACACACTACAGACGACATCAGCAACACCTGCTCATAGGCATTTATTTGAAAAAGCGTCATTGGTTTTGAGATTAACCAGCTGTCCTGTGCGACACAACCACTAGGTGGCGCCATGGTCCTGTTAGAGCGCCTACTAGGGAGCCAGTGCAATTGGCTGCAACTGAGAGAGGACTTAAACGGCTTGGTCCATTATTTCATTCACTCCTCACAACATCCCCTGCTTAACAGGCATCCCCAGTGCCACATTTTTCGTGAGGAAACCGAAGCTCGGATCACAGCTGGGAAGAGGCAGCTGGTCTCTGAACTGACATTTTAGACTCCCAAAGCCTGCACCTTTAACTATGACCCTCCACAAGACAGCCAGAGGTCAGCTTTGTTCCCAACCCTCCCAGCGTCCCATAATGGTTGCGGGGTTAAGGGTGAATGACATTTGAATGACGGAGGAAGGTGGCATGGTTAGGGTCCAGGGACCTCACACCTGTGGCTAGAGGAGATGGGTTAGTGCTGGCCGGGGGCGGGTGGGGATCAGTGATCTTCAGTGACCCCAGGAGGACCCCAGGCCTCCCCCCTTCCTCAGCACCTTCCATCATTCCACCTATGGCTCTTCCTCCCCTCAAAAGCCCAGCCCTGATGCCTAGCCTCCTTGGGCTGCCCGGCTTCCTCCCAGGAACCACTTCACTGTGGCCAGTCCTCCCCTGAGGGACTGTCTGTCTGTCCTCCTTCCAGGACAGAGCCCATTCCTCCAGGCACGCTGGCTCCCTCAAGGCTGACCTCCTAGAAGAAGCTGGGGGTGAAAGGCAAGCTGACACCAGCAGCCATTTTATTTATTTTTAAAAATATATTTTATTGATTTTTTACAGAGTGGAAGGGAGAGGGATAGAGAGTTAGAAACATCCATCAGCTGCCTCCTGCACACCCCTTGCTGGGTATGTGCCCGCAACCAAGGCGCCTGCCCTTGACTGGAATCGAACCTGGGACCTTTCAGTCCACAGGCTGACGCTCTATCCACTGAGCCACACCCGTTTCAGCTTCATTTGCTTTTTCAAACGAGCACGCAGCGTCTCGGGTGCCTTCCTTCTCCGGAGAAAGCCGCCGTGTCTCTGCGGGATCCATCCCAGCTTCCCCAGAGGAGGGCCTTCCCCGGAGCCCCCGAGGAGCCCGTGGGCCCGGAGCGCCCCGCGTGTGGGGCCCACAGCCCCGGCCTCGGGCACGCACCTGCGCACCCCACAGAGAGGGCGGGTGCTGCTCCGGAGGGGCCCTGGCCCGGCTCTGCTCCCGGGCCTCAGGGCCCGTTACCCAGGGGAGTGAGCCGCGGGCAGAGCAGGCAGAGGCCTCCCCACCGGGCCTGGCTGCCCCGGAGCCGGCGGGCAAACCCCCAGGATGCCTGGTGGGGAGATGCTGGCTCTGGGCTCCGTACCAGTCAGATGAGGAATCTCCCCGGGCTCCCGCTCGGTGCGGGGTGCGGGGTGCGGGGTGCGGGGCGGGCCGGCCCGCCAGTCCAGGTGCTTCCTATCCGCCAAACTCCGAACCGGTGTGCCCGCAGCGGCCCTGGCTCGGGCTTGCTTGTTTCGTCTCCCGGAGCTTCCGCGTCCTCCTCGGATGCAGGTAAGCGGGGCACACACTGTGGTCTGGGGCCTGGAACGGTACCGGTCCGTGAATTCATTCCCCCTGCCTTCCGGGAAGATGTAGTAAGGCGGCGGATAAGAAAACGCGGGCTTTAGTAAAACGCGTCTGTTCGAAGGGCAGTGGAAGGGCGACGCCAGGAAGGAGTCCGACGGCAATATTGCACCTAATTACACACTATTGTTGGGCAAACGATTTGGCTGCCAGCTTCCTAGCGGCCAAGGCAAAAGGTGGGGCGGGGTGTTACTTATCCCCTGTAGGCCCCTGAAGTAATGGCACTCCACTCACACAGGAAATGTGGGTGCATCCGGAGGTCTCTCCTTTGCTCCCGTCTAAAGGGGACGCCGTGTGGTGGAGGAAGCACCCTCCGAGATGCCCTGTGTAGATGCCTTGTTTGATGCCCAGGCCCTGGGCTCTCCCCTCCACTCCTCCACGCAGGCTGCTGGCACCGCCCACACCCAGCTCAGCACATGCTGTTGTTGCTGGCAGAGCAGTTTGGGGAATATGCTAGTGTGCTTTGCCTCTTTATTTATTTATTTTTTAATTGATTATGGTATCACATAATTGTCCTCATCCCCCCATTCCCATCCCAAACCCTCTCCCCACAGATGCCCCCACCCCCCTGTTGTCCATGGCCACTGGCTAGGCTTATATGCATGCACACAAGTCCTTGTACTTTGCCTCTTTATCCTTCCCTCCCCTAATCTTGAGCTATGCCTCCGGGCGGATTCGGTTGGTTCTAACATGACTATGGAGAGAAAGAAAAAGTCTCTGTCCAGCGTGTGACATCACAGGCACCGAGGCAAGACTGTTGAGTCTCCGCACTGGGCTTTGGCAGGAGAGAAAAGGGTTTCGGACATTGGCTGAGCTCCCCTGAGTCGATGCCCAGCGCCAGCCTGGAGTCCCCAGCTGGAGTCGGACATCGGGCAAGGACAGCAAGCAACCTGGACGCGATGTGGGCACATCGGCTCCTCAGGCGTGGCTGGGCACACACGTCGCCTGGGCATCTCATTAACATGCAAACTTTGAACCAGAGGGTCCAGACTGGGGCTTGAGAGACCACGTTTATAGCAAGTGGCCAGGGGATACACTGCCGTGCATGGACCTCACTCTGAGGGTAGCAAGGCTGAAAGCAAAGGGGGAAGACCCTGCTCCGCCCAAGGCCAGAGGGGGGTGGGTGTGTGAGAAGATGGGCTGAGGTCGGGGATGTGGGTGGCCAGACTCATGTGCTGGCCTTGCTGCTCCGGGCTGAAGCCCAGAGTGAGGAGGCAAGCTGAGGGCCTCTGCGCCTGATTGCCATGGAGAACTCTGACCGTGGGAGGAGCTGGGGAGGAGGAAAAGCCCTGTGCTTAGGACTGTGGCCTGGAGGAGACCAGCTTTTTGAATAAGAATCTGGCTGAGGCCCAGCTGGTGTGGCTCAGTGGTTGAGCGCTGACCCATGAACCAAGAGGTTGCTGGTTTGATTGATTCCTCTTCAGGGCACATGCTCAGGTTGCGGGCTCAATCCCCAGTAGTGGGCGTGCAGGAGGCAGCCAACCTATGATGCTTCTTGCTCATCCACGTTTCTATTTCTCTATCCCTTCCTCTCTCTCTAAAAATCAATTTAAAAAGGGAAAAGAGAAAAAGAATTGGGCTGAGGCATCAGGCTACACAGGGACCTTGTGCTCAGTGGGAGTTAGAGCCGAGCTGCAGGAGTCAGCAGCGCTTTCAGGGCCAGAGGAGGTGGCCAATGGTCTGTCGGTGCCTAGAGAACAGTCCAGGAGTTACTCCTGTCATTGGTGCCAGTGGTACATGCTCTCAGGGTGGCCACGGACAGACTGGGCCGGACCAGCTCACGGACCAGACAGTCACCTGGAGAGGAGAGCCAGGCAAGGGGACCCATCCCTACCACCAGCCAAGCAATGACATGAGGCCCTAGCTTTCCTGATGCCACCTACCATGGGGACCCGGGGACAGGGTGTGTGTGTGTGTGAAATGGCTCTTAGAGTTGAACTTTGAATTCATTGAACATTTACCCCAAACCAATAGATGCATTAGCCCAATGGATGTTTCCCTTACCACCCTCCCAGGTGGAGAGTGGGACAGCATTTATTGGATTCGGCCAGGAGACAGACCGGTGCATTTTTTAAGAGGCACAATAAAGACAACCTGTCGGGCTGCGCCGTAAGTAGTCCTTACCGCATACACAGGCAGCTTCTTAGTGGGATCAGCAGACACAGGACACAGGGCTGGGGCCAGGGACGTGGGGAGGCCTGAGGGTCTGTTGGAGGTATCTCGGGAGGTGCCATTGGAGCCCAAGAGGAGACACCTGGCTGGGCAGACAGAGAGCAGAGGAAAGATGTGAGGAGGTTTAAGCAGAGCATGGGAGGCGGCCTCATTCATTGTCCCAGGGTCCTTTATTAAGCTCCTGCTGTATGCCGGCTGCTGAGCCAGGAACCGGACATGCGTGTCCAGATGGGTTCCTCTCCCAGGGGAGGGCCAAAGGTCAGCACCGGAGTCCCCCAGGCGGGCGTGCCGAGGAGGACACAGCCCTGGGGCCTACGTGAGCTCCCGCCAG